CCCCATGATGGGAACCAGATATATCGGGGGCTGGGGTCTCTTCTCCGCGTCCCGCAAGGAGAGAGAGACGTGAACCGGTTCGTATAAGTTAGGAGGCGCTTTTGGGATTGGGATTAAAGAAAAATGAATTGGCCCTAACCAGTTTGGCTCAGTGGATAGAGCATCGACCTGTGGACTGAAGGATCCCAGGTTCGATTCCGGTCAAGCACATGTACCTTGATTGCGGGCACATCCCCAGTAGAGGGTGTGCAGGAGGCAGCTGATCAATGTTTCTCTCTCATGGATGTTTCTAACTCTCTATCCCTCTCCCTTCCTCTCTGTAAAAAATCAATAAAAATATATTTTTTAAAAAAGAAAGAAAAATGAATTGGACAGACACAAAATTAGATTAAAAGCTTGGGCTGGGTGTGGTGTCTGCCCTCTCATGGAGGGACAGACAGAGAGAGCGCACCAGCATCGGAAGCAGTTTATTATATACTCGAATTACAGGAAGTTACATCACATCTGGGTGGGCCTTGAATTCCTGGTGATATCATGAGATCCATCCCCTTAACACTGGGCGGGAAAGTCAGACTGAGTGGTGTCCAATCTCTTGACTGGGTCCAACCTCAGGGCACAGCTTTGCCTTCACTCTGAGTTTCAGCCGACAAAATTGAACCAAGTGTTTACTACTGCCCTCAGCACTGAATGATGGTTGTTCTGTATTTTAGTTGTTAATTTTGATGTGGTTGTGGGAGGAGGCAAGTATCGCATTTACTTACACTGCCATCTTCTCTAAAAGCCTCATTGTCATTTTAAATAAATGGGTCATTACAAGTAATTATGACAGATTATGCTCGCTGTGTCTTTATACAATTCTTTATTGGTCATTGGGTGATTGGTTGTTTTGTGAATTAACTTCCAGAATATTGACTTTTAGTGAATTGATTTTTTAGCAAATTGACTTCTTTTCTATTTAAAATACTATATAGAATTAAAAATGTATTTTCCATAATTTCTCTGTAATAATGTATTTTTTCTTTCTCTACAAGTTTTTTTTTTTTCCTTTCTTATATATAACAACTCTTTTATAAATTTGACTAGGACAAATTGACAAGAATTTCCAAGTAATATAGGGGTCTTTTTTCTTCAGGTTAATTTTAACTTCTTTTCTAAATAGTTGTAGATGAGGCCTTGTATCTGCCAAGCATACTCTATCCACTAAAAGAAGAATGAATAAATAAGCGCTCTTCAAATGTAAAATTTAAAGTGCCCACTTTTTAAAGGGATAGAAATCAATAGAACTTGCCATTAACATACAGATCTGTGTTATATAGCTACTAGAGGCCCAGTGCACAAAATTCGTGCACTGGGGAGTGGGGCAAATACTAGCCAAAGAGGCATTCAGCAGTCCAGGACCCCTCACTCCTTACCACTCACCTGCAGTGGAGGCGGGAGAGGCTCCCACCACCGCCGCTGCACTCTCCAGCCCTGAGCCCGGCTTCTGGCTGAGTGGTGCTCCCCCTGTGGGAGTTCACTAACCACAATGGGGCAGCTCCTGTGTTGAGTGTCTGGCCCCTGGTGGTCAGTGCGCATCATAGTGACCTGTCATTTCACCGTTTGGTCAATTTGCATATTAGGGCTTTATTATATAGGATAGATAAAATATTCCAACCAGGATGGTAATATCCAGGCTTAGAAGGGCTGTACTAAGGGTAGGCTAATGATAACTAGTTATCAGCATAGTGTAAATGCAATCAATAGAAGACCAGAGGCTGGCATAAATGTGGTGATTAAAATTGTTACAAGTTTCATGGAAAATTCAAGATGGTAGACTTAAGTAGAAGACAGAGTCTATTAAAATAGTTTTAGACACACAAAAAAGGTAGAAGCAGAAATGGTAAACAAGAATGTTAATATAACAAACTGTATAGATATATACTTCATCTCCTTTTCAAATCTCAGATTATTTAAAACACATAAACAGTAATAATTAATTATAATAATGTATTGTTGATCTTCGATGAGGAACAAGAAGGCTCACTGTGTGCTCAATATTGCTTGAATAATCTATTGCAAGGAGAATATTTTAACCCTGTGGAATTATCTTCTATTGAACATCAGCTAGATGGAGAAGAGAGAAGAATGGCAGAAGAAGGCATTATTAGTGAATACTATAGCACGTTTTTATAGCAGCCTTCTGCAAAAATGGATGATAGTGGTTTTTCTCTATTCAATCTATCAGGATAATATAATATATATACATATATACACACATATACATACATATATACATACCTGTGTAGATGGCCATAGAATACAAAAACTGAAAGAATTGAATGAAAAAAATTAGAATTTCAACAATAATACTTATAAATTTCAATGCCCCACTTTCAAAAATGCATAGAACACTAAGCAGAAGATTAACAAAGAAATAGAAGACGTGAACAACACTATAATCACTTAGACCTAACAGAAATCTATGGGACACTTCAACCAATAGCAGAATAATACATAATTCTCAAATTCACATAGAACATTTTCCAGGATAGACCATAAAGTGAGTCTCATACACTTAAAACAATTGAAAAATCACAGAAAATATATTTTTTTGTCACAGTGAAATGTAATTAAAAATCAGTAACTGAAAGAAATTTGGAAATATATGAAAATTAAGCAACACATTATTAAATAACCAATGATTCAATTAAAAAATCAAAAGGGAAATTTGAAAGTACTTTAAGATGACTGCAAATGAAGAGACAACATACCAAAATTTATGGGATGCCTTTACACCAGTGCTCAGAGGGGAATTTATAGCTATAAATACTTTTATTTAAAAAAGAAAAATTAATAACCTAATATTCTATCTTAAGCCACTATAAAAACAAAGAGCAAACTAAACCTAAAGAAAGAATAAAGAAGGAAGTAATAAAAATGAGACAAAAATTTGTGAAATTAAGAATAGAAAAACAGAGAAAAATAAACAAAACCAAGAGTTGATACTTTAAGAAATCAACAAAATGGACTAAACTTCAATAGACTGACCAAGGAAAAGAAGACCCAAATTACTAAAATTAAGGATGGAAGATGGAACATTACTACCAACCTCACAGAAATAAAAAAGATTTTAAGAGAATACTACATTTAACTGTAAACCAACCAACTAAATAACTTTGGTAAAATGGACACATACCTAGATAAACATAAGAATGGACTCAATAAAAAATAGAAAATCTGAATGGCTGTATAAAAAGGGAAAAGTTCAATAGTAATTTTAAAACTTTCCACAAAGAAAAGTCCAGGACCAGAGAGCTTCATTGGTGATTTTTACTATACATCTTAAGAAGAATTAACACCAATCCTTTACAAATTCTTCCAAAAAAATAGAAGAGAAGGAAAAAACCAATTCAAACTAGAAAACCAGTAATATGCTGATACCAAAACTGGACAAAGATATGGAAAGAAAAACAAACTACAGAACACTATCTTTTATGAATATAGATGCAAAAATCCTCAACAAAATGCTAGCAAACATTTTACACCATGACCAAGTGATATTTATTCTAGGAATGCAAGGTTGGATAAACATACAAAAATCAATCAATGTGATACACCATTTTAACATAATAAAGGGGGAAAATTATGCAATTATCTCAATAGAGACAGAAACCAATTTACAAAATCCAACATCCTTTATGATAAAAATATTCAATATCTAGAAATAGAGGTGGATGTCTGCAAATTTATAAAGGATATCTACAAAAAACCACAGCTTATATCATATTTAATGGTGAAAGACTCAATGTTTTCCTCCTAAAATCAGGAACCAGATGAAGATGTATACTAGTACTCTTTCCACTTTGTATTTAACATTGTACGGGACTTTCTAGCCAAGGCAAGAAAGAGAAATAAAAAACATCCAGGTTGAAAAGGAAGTTAAGCTTTCTCTACTTGTAGATGGCATGGTCTTATATATAGAAATCCGAAGGGATTCACTAAAAAATATATTAGAATTGAGTTCAGCAAAGTTGTAGTGTACAAGATCAATATACAAAAATCAATTGTATTTCTACAAAATAGCAACAAACAATCCTGACAATAAAATAAGAAATAAATTTTATTTACATGAAAAAGAGTAAAATACTTGGGAGCAAGTTTAACAAAAGTACAAAACTTATACTGTGAAAACTACAGAACATTGTTAAGTTAAAGGAAATGTATACTCAGATGACAAGACATCCTATATTCATGGATCTGAAGACTTAATATTTTTAAGATGGCACTGCTCTCAAATTGATCTTCAGATTTATTGAAAATTACAACTGACCTATTTTATAGAATTTGAGAAGCTGGTCTGAGAGTTTATAAGGAAATTACTCCAAATAGCCAAAGTCATCTTGAAAAGGAAAAACAAACTTGGAGGATTTAACTTCTGATTGCAAGAATGAGCATGATCTATTCCACCAATTGTAGATTTTTATGATTATAAAAAGGTTTCCTTTAATGTTAAAGATAGCTAATGTAAGACCTTATTATGATTCACCAGAGGGCAAGAAATATATTAATCAAGCAAAGACCATAGGTTTAAATGGTATATTCTACTATTAAATTTCATATGAAAAATCAGTGTATATGAAACAAGCTGGTTATAATAGCTGCCACCTCATTGATTACGAAGGTTAGTTACCTTATATTTCTGCAGATATCTCTTTCCTCACTTCTTCTTTGCATACTTGCTTCTTATGAAACCATAGGTTGATCAGATAGGATGACTTTCTCATTTAGAAAAGGACCATTCCTGAATCAAGGGATATGTGTACAGCACTATTTTACATATCATGCATAGTATGCTGGTCAGTCATTTTGAAGGCTTCCAAAGGTATTAGATATATTTGATACAGACAATTAATATTACTGTACTGATTCTACTACATTAATTCAAAGCATTTTTAAAATGGAATAGGAATTTGCATACTTTATTATTCTACTTATGTTTGTTTCTCTTTTCTGTTCCTTAGATATATTGTCTTAAACATTTACAAGTTCTGATCCTGAGAAATAATCCTATCAGAATAATCCCTTCTGATATTCAACAACTTAAGCTCCTTAGAGTTTTCAACATTGCCTTTAATTTGATTACGACTCTTCCTCTTGGGTAAGATTGATAATTTGATATTATAAATAGAAAATAAAGAGCTTATGACATAGAAAAGGATCAATTCCCCTTTTGAAAGCAGCTAGCAACTTTTCAGCTCTTTAATAATTCTTATTCTTTTCCAATTAGCTGACTTGTTTTTCATTGCTGTGTTAAAAATAATCCTACTAGCCAGATGCCAATTAACCTTTCTCGGCCTCAATTTCCTAATCTATGAACCAAGAAATTAGTCTTTATGATATTTAAGATCCTTTAAACTCTAATAGGAATGTTAATATTTGAGTTTAAAAGAGATGGCTTTTCCCCACGTATGAACTGGTAATTATTTAATTACTAATAAAATTTTTAAAGAAAAACCTTTACCAAATGCCAAAACAAGATACCACTTCCAGTAAATGCTTAACAAATTCAATATAAGTTAAGGACAAAGGGATGGGGACTCTGAAATATTTGAACAGTATTTCTCAAAAGAAGATTCTTATAGTAATTAAGGAAGTGCATCAAAATTCATTTATAAAGTTCTTCATCTAGCAGTTTGTAATTAACAATCCAACAAATTCTACATTCATAAACCTTAAAACTATTTAGTCATTTAAAAGAATAAAAAGGCATGTAAAATATTATACTATTTCTGTATAAAAATGTAAAACTCACACATTATAAAAACACTAAGGCAGTAAGAAAATTGCATTATGGGAATTTTATTTCTGTTTGACTCACCTATATTTTTCCACAGTAACATAAATTGTATTTTCCCTGCCTTGATATTAGAATTAGCCATTTCTTTAAGAAAACCCTGTGTTTTTTTTTTATTAATCCTCATGCAAGGGTATGTTTTGATTGTTTTAGAGAGAGGGGAAGGGAGAGGGAGAGAAAGAAACATCAATTGGTTGCCTCCCACATGCACCTTGAGTGGGGATCGAACCCACAACCTGGGTGTGTGCCCTGTCCAGGAATCGAACCTGCAACCTTTGGCACATGGGATGACGCTCCAATCAACTGAGCCACATTGTCCAGGCCCTGTTTTCATTTTATTGCAGAATGATCTTTAAAAACCAATATCTAAGTATTGAATGTCTCCATTGCTATTGAGATGACACTGTTTATAGACACTCACAGTATACAGAGCTTAGTAATATATGTATTTAGAAATCTATGTATACACATATCTATAATTATTTATCTGTGTATATTTATTTATATACACACATATAGATACACACAACTATATATACACACATATGTACATATGTGCATCTAAACAAATGAATACTGTATAATCTATAATAACAATTACATACTTTAAATAACCATAACTTATTTAAACAAAATGTAAAAATACCTAAAACAACTAAAAGTTTATCATAACTACATGGTCAACATTGTACATTGTTTAGAGATTAAGCAAACTAGTTTGAATTATTGGTTATAAACAAAAGTTTTAAGAAGCCCTCACACCTGTCAGAATGACTGTCATCAATAAATACACAAATGACAAGTGTTGGCAAGGATGTAGAGAAAAGGGAACCCTTGTGCACTGTTGTGGGAATGCAGATTGGTACAGCCACTATGGAAAACAGTATGAGGTTTCCTCAAAGAAATTAAAAATGGATCTGCCTTATGACCCAGTGATTCTACTTCTGGGGATTTATCTGAAGAAATCCAAAATACTAATTTGAAAGGATATATTCACCCCTATGTTCATTGCAGTGTTATTTACAACTAAAGGCCCGGTGTACAAAATTTGTGCAGTGGGGGGAAAGGGGTGTCCCTCAGCCCGGCCTGCACCCTCTCCAATCCAGGATCCCTCTCGCAACCCAGGACCTCTGGCTCCTAATTGCTTGCCTGCCTGTGGACCTGATCCCTAACTGCTCTCCCCTGCCGCCCTGATCCCCCTAACTTCTCTCCCCTGCTGGCCTGATCCCCCTAACTGCTCTCCCCTGCCAGCCTGATCCCCCTATCTGCTCTCTCCTACTGGCCTGATCCCCCTAACTGCTCTCTCCTGCCGGCCTGATTCCCCCTAACTGCTCTCGCCTGCCGGCCTGATCACCCCTAACTGCTCTCTCTTACCGGCCTGATCCCACCTAACTGCCTCTGCCTTGGCCCCTGCTTTGTCCTGAAGGATGTCTGGTCTAATTAACACATTACCCTTTTATTAGTATAGATAGAGGCCTGGTGCATGGGTGGGGGCTGGCGGATCAGGGTGGGGGTCCCATTGGGTGGTGGGGATGGCCTGGGCAAGGGGCCTGGGTGGTTTGCAGGCTGGCCATGCCCTGATCAGGGTAGGGGTCCCCACTGGGGGGCAGTGCCAGCCTGAGCAAGGGGCCTGGGCAGTTTACAGGCCAGCCACACCCCTAATTAGGGTGCGGGGGTCCCCACTGGGGGCCAGGGCCAGCCTAGGCGAGGGGCCCCCAGGGGTTTGCAGGCCGGCCACATCCCCATCAGGGTGGGGGTCCCTGCTGGGGGCATTGCCGGCCTGGGTGAGAGGCTGGGGGGTTTGCAGCTGGCCACACCCCTGATCGGGGTGAAGAGCTGAGGGCCATTTGCAAGCTGGCCATGCCCCCATTGGGGTGGGGGTCTCCGCTGGGGGCCATGGCCAGCCTGGATGAGGGGCTGATGTCTCTTTGCAGGCTGGGCATGCCCCCATCAGGGTAATGGTCCCCACTGGGGGTGGGGCGTACCTGGGCAAGGGGCTGATGGCCATTTACATGCTGGCGAAGCCCCTGGCCATGTCAGGATGGACGTCTGGAATACATCTGGTCTAATTAGCATATTACCCTTATATTAGTATAGATAGCCAAGCTATGGAAGCAACCCAAGTGTCCATCAATAGACAAGTAGATAATATTCATATATTATCTAAGCACCGCCCCCAGCCGGGACCCCCATGTGCTGCCTAAGCCCCGCTGCCAGCTGGGACCCCATGGCAATCTGAGAGCAGGAAAGTGCGGCCTGCAGGCAGCACCCAGAAAGGCCTGCTCCTGGGTCACTGTGGAGATCCCAGAGCAGGAAAGTGCGGCCTGCAGGCAGCCCCCAGGTGGGCCTGCTCCTGGGTCTCCATGGCGATCCCAGAGCAGGAAATTGGGGAGGGTAGGCAGCCCCCAGGTGGGCCTGCTCCTGGGTCACCATGGAAATCCCAGAGAAGGAAAGTGCGGCCTGCAGGCAGCCCCCAGGTGAGCCTGCTCCTGGGTCACCATGGCGATCCGAGAGCAGGAAAGTGCAGCCTGCAGGCAGCCCCCAGGTGGGCCTGCTCCTGGGTCGCCATGGCAATTCCAGAACAGGAAAGTGCGGCCTGCAGGCAGCACCCAGGAGGGCCTGCCCCCGGGTCTCCTCGGCGATCCAGCCATCCATGAGCAGGAAAGTGCAGCCTGCGGGCAGCACCCCACCCTGGCCACAGCTCAAGGGAGAGAACAACATGCAGTGGAGGCCAGGAGCCTGAGAGATCAACACAGAGGGGTGCCTGATCCAAGCCTGCACGGTGTGGCTGGGGGCAGGCCCCCAGCAGACACACACACACACACACACGGGACACCTGCTCCGATCCTCTGCTGCCAGACTGTGGCCGTCAGTAGGACATCCACTGAGGGCTCCCAGACTGTGAGAGGGGCAGGCTGGGCTGAGGGAACCCCACCCCCCAGTGCACGAATTTCATGCACCTGGCCTCTAGTCTATAATAATAAAAGCGTAATATGCAATTCAACTGAATGGCTGAAGAGCAGAACCACCACCCGGATGACCATGCTATGATATGCACTGGCGCCAAGCCAGCCAAGGCAGGTGCGATGTGATTGGTCAGCAGGCCCTGCCACCACCCCATGATTGCCCCAAAGGAGGCCCAGGCCACCTACTGGCGGGTGAGTAGGGCCTCCCTCTGTGGGGCAATCGATCGCAGGGCTCCCAGACTTCGAGAGGGTGCAGATCGGGCTGAGGGATACCCTCCCCCCACTGAGTGCATGAATTTTATGCACCAGGCCTCTAGTATTGTAATAACTATGAATAGTGTCAGATAGGTACTAGATTTATCAGGGTGGTCACTTAGTAAGTTGAACATTATTCAATAATGTTCAATCACTGGGTTGTACACCTGAAACTAATATAACATTTTATGCCAACTATAATTGAAAAAACATTATTAAAAAAAAGTTTTAAGGAGGTATTTTTCAAAAATATTAGTGTTTCTAAAATAAAGCAGTACAATTTTATTAAATGCCATTGGATATGTATGCATATCAAGGGATGATTGACAGCATATTGAAGCCAAGTATAAAAAACATAATTGGAATTATGGGAATAATAAAATTATAATTGTTATGGGGATTAACTTTATTGAACCTCAGAGAAGACTTAGAGTAAGCTCTGACATAGGTAAAAATGTTCATTTGCAGAGCTGTTAAATGTAAACTCACACAGAGGAAACTTATACAGTGCGGGATGAGGTGCTTTGTATTTAAAGGTTATTGTCAGAACTCTAGCTTTCCAGTAAAGAAGACCCAACATAGAATGGCAGGACTAAGGGTGCTGTAACTGGATAAAATTGAGTGAAATGCACTGAACCAATTATGTAGTTGGATCTCATTACTGTTACAAGCAATAGCACTGATATATTTTAAATATTATGTTTTTATTTTTGTAATTAATCCAGCAAATGTTTATGAAGTATCTATTGTGTGCTCCCTAGTAGATCACCACCTAAGAGGAAGGCAGACAATTGCACACAATTACAGAAAGTAAAATAATGGAGATGCACTATGTAAAATTCCAAACAGTGGCATGTAACTCAATCTGGAGAGTCAGAGTTGGCTCCCTGGAAGAGATGACATTTGATCCAAATGTAACTGAGTGTGAATGAGCCACATTAATAGTGATAAGGAGCAAGAGGTGATTATCTTATCTAATAAAAGAGAAACATGCAAATTGCCCGTCCCCCCGCTACACTAACAAGCCACACCCACAAGCCAATCAGGAGTGAGTATGCAAATAAACCCAACCAAGATGGTAGT